AATAGTTCATAGACACCATATTAATACATTTTAACTTTCCTATAAATCATATTTCATTGAGTCTCTTATCCTGAGGTGATGCTCATCACCTTAGGACCAAAGAGGGATCAATCTTTAATTTCGAGTCATTGCAAGAAAGACTCACATCAGGAAAGATAAAGGTAATTTTATTTTATTGTTATTGGGCTGTTTTATTTTGTGTTGCTTTTGCTTTGGGGGATGCACTTAACAGTGTTTGGAACTTACTTCTGGCTTTGCACTCAGGGATCACGCCTGATGTGTTTGGCAGGGGAGTTGGGGAACACCGTATGTGGTGTCAGGAACCAAAACAAGGTTGACTGATATCCAGCATCTCATATGGTCCCCTGAGCATTGCCAGGAATAACTCCTGAGTACAAAGCCAGGAGTAGACCCTGAGCATTGCTGTACCACTGGGCATGACACAAGCACAAGTAAGAAAGGAAGGGATGGAGGAAGGGAGGGAGAGAGGGAAAAGAAAAAAGGAAAGGAAGGAGGGAGGGAAGGAAGGAAGGAAGGAAGGAAGGAAGGAAGGAAGGAAGGAAGGAAGGAAGGAAGGAAGGGAGGAAGGGAGGGAGGAAGAAGGGAGGGAGGGAGGAATGGTGAAAGGAGGGAGGGAAGAAGGAAGGAAGGAAGGAAGGAAGGAAGGAAGGAAGGAAGGAAGGAAGGAAGGAAGGAAGGAAGGGAGGGAGGAAGGGAGGGAGGAAGAAGGGAGGGAGGGAGGAATGGTGAAAGGAGGGAGGGAAGAAGGAAGGAAGGAAGGAAGGAAGGAAGGAAGGAAGGAAGGAAGGAAGGAGGAAAGGAGGGAGGGAGGGAGGGAGGGAGGGAGGGAGGGAGGGAGGGAGGGAGGGAAAGAGTATCTCCCTCACCCTTGAAAAAACAATGTAAATACTTTGAAAATTTTAAAGTACAAAAGTGTGATAGCTATTAATTCCTTGCACGTAGCCTCTGAACTTCCCTGGAAAACAACTCAGCCTTCCTAGTAAAAGATCTTGGATGCAAACAAATGCAGAGAATGGTGCCAATATTTTCTTCAATTCTCTTGAAGCCACTTTGCATTTCAGTTAGAAATAAATCTGTTGTGGGAATAAACACTCACTTACCTTCCTTTTCTTTTCTTTGATGGGTGGTGGGTTTGAACAACATCTGGTGATGCTCAGAGGCTGTTCTTGGTTCTGTGCTGTGCACAGTGCACCATATGGTGCCAAGGATTAAACCCAGGCCTCTCATATGCAAAGCATGTGTTCTAGTCCTTTGAATAATCTCTCTGGCACATTCACCTTCTTTTTATTCAAGGTCCATTTTATGCTGTCAATAATATGCCTCTTCTGACACCCTACAAAAGAAAACCCATTTTCTACCCAAAATAAGGAACTAAAACCCTATTTCACTCGATGAAATTTCTGTAGGTATCTGCAGTATCATCGAGGTGTCTTAGGAACTTCTTTAGGACTATGTCAAATACAAGTACATAAATAAATATGTAGAGTAGATATTACAAAATCTTGGTTGATAATAGTATTTCTGAGTTTCAGAAAGAAATTACATAAATCACTTGATCTGTGGGGGGAGGAAGCTACTCAAGGCAGTTATATAAAACTGGTTAACTCTTGCATTTATAAAAATGAAACAATTGTATTAATGTAACATTTGAAATAAATCATAAACTCAACTAGATGCGTGAATATGCGATTTTTCTTCCAGCTCACCAGTTGGAAGTTGCTTAAAATAATGGTTCAGATTAGTTAAATCAAAAATAACAAAATATGTTTTCTCTGCATATTTGTTAGCAGTTCAATTTATCACTTGCTATATCTTTAAATATAATAGAAAGGCAAATATATACCCTTAGTCTTATTAAGAACTATAAAGCAGCCTAGAATTATATTCAAAGGCATCTGAAGTCGTTCTCCCACACACACCCTACTTAAATTTCTAAAATTATTGCTAGTATATGTTGGAAAACACTCCTTTTCATTCATTTTGCTTCTAAAAATGAACTGCTCTAAAATCTGCTGGAAAAGTTCTTTAAAAACTACCTCCTAATATTTTAGATTTGAAAATGAACATCACTGAATCATGAAATATGTCTTTTATACTTATGTTTGAAATCTGATTTTTCTATTTATCTATGGCTCTCTGGAACATCTTTAGTCTTCCCACCCCCAGATTCTCTTCTTCCCTCCCCAGGCCCCTCCCTGTCCTTTATTATCATTCCCTGGGATATAAATCAGCAATTACTGAGCTCCCACAATAAAGCCTGAGGTCATAGATGGGGGCAGACAGTAATTTAATCTGTCAGAAACTGGGATATCATCTCATTAGTTTGGTGAAAACAGCAAACCTTACAAAGTACAACTCAGTAACTGCTTCTTATTGATAAAAACTCAAAATTTCTCTCCGTCTCTCTGAAATAACATACTTTAGAAAAAACAGGGGCTGGATCAAACAGTGTGTAGGGCACTTGCCTTGAATACTGCCAGCCATGGTTCAATACCTAACACCCTATTTGGTGAGGGATCTGGAGCCTGCCAAGAGAGATCCCTGAGTTTAGAGTGAGGAGTAAGTCCTGAGTACTGCCAGGTATGATCCAAATACAGAAACAAGAATCAAAGTATAACTTTAATATTGGTAAAATATCTGAAAGTAATTTGAAATCTTTTTTAAAAATCTAATTAAAACATAAAGTCATCAAGTTGGTATCTGGATATATGTATTCTAAAACAATCCACCCAAATATTGAAGTTCAAATGACAAAGTCAAACAACTTGCAACAACATAATAACATTTGTTTATTTAGCTAACATTGCAAAGTTAATAGCACTATTTGTATCCTCATAAGAGGATGGATTATTGGGATTTTGATTAGCAAAGTTCACTGTTCTTAACCATTTAACAAATATCAGGGACACTTTAACTCTTGGGTTGCTGATTTTAGGAGAGCACAATGTTCTTGAAGCAGATATACACAAAACATGTTTTCCTTAGTGATTTCAAGCATTGTATATCATGTCAATGAGTCTGAGAACCCCAGTTTTAGTATCTCTAGATGGTTGCAATACACTCTGGCTTACTTTAACAATCAAACAACAAAAAGGCATTCAGTGCCTACTATGTACAAGCCAGCATACTAAAGCAATACAAGATATACAAGGAATAAAAGTATTGAGTCTTGCCCTGTTCAGGCATCCAATATTGTCGGTAAGATCAAACACATATATAAAATACTATACTGACAATTATGATGATGATGGTTGACAATATTGTATGATAGAATCACCACTCTTGGAATCTAAAGGAATCAGGGGCATGAGCAGGGAAATCCTTAGAATAGTTACAGCGTGTCTAAATAAGATTTCTCATTTCTGATTTGAGAGTACTGCTGCTTGAACCCCCTTCTCTGAAAATGGTGCATGTTAGTTCTTGAATCCTTGCACCTGTCAGTTACTAACTTCATCGTTTCATGGAGCAAGATAAATTTTATATACTGAATATATGTATATTAAAATAATGTATAGAGAGTGATGTTGAAAATAGGAGTTGAGAACTTTTCACACTGCTTGGTAAAGCTAATCCACATTATTATTATATTATTTTATAAGACAAACAAGAGACTACCTAAGAAAAGCATGAAAAGAAATCTTTCAACATTACTGGATAGGAGCAAAAGATAGAAAATCCAGGGCAAAGGGTAAGAACTGAAGGCCCGGCAGAGGAAAGGTTTGTAGGGGAGCCTGGAGAGAGAGAGCTTCTCTCCCATTGCCCCCCCCACCCCCACCCCTGCAGCTTCCTCCCCCACCCCACACACACACCTCCACTTCACAAGTCTTGAAGAAAAGACGTTGGGACTAGTCAAAGAGAGAAAAGAACACAGAAACATAGTTTAAAACACCACAAATAAACAAATTTGTTTATCTAGAAAATAATGTGTTAGGCACCGCTTGAAAGGCAGCAAGCCTGGGGCAGGCAGGCCACACACTCAGCCTGCAGGCGGCAGCGTTGACCCAAAGTACCTCAATATGTCTCAGTCTAGTGCTGGGTTGTGGGGGGGAAGAAAAAAAACAAACCTCAGCAGGAAACTGAGTCAACTGTAACTCAAAAGTGGGGAAGGACCTGGCTGTGTGTCTGCAGCCTTGCTCCTGCCCCACCTTGCGTGGGCTCCGGGGAGAGTGCTCTGGATAGCCTAGCGCTTGGTCTTATATTCCTGGGCTCGAAGAATTTTGATTGCAACCTGTCCCAGAAGCCCCTGAACCTTCTTTCAATTAAAAGAAGAAGAAAACCCCAACAACAACACAAACACACTCCACAACAAAACAAAACAACTCGTGGCCGCTTGTTCTCAGTTCCCTTCAGCCCCCAATGCTGGGGGGCCAGGATGGGGACCGCAAGGCGGTCGGGATTTGAAGCGCGGGACCGATTTTTCTAAGCACCTGGCTCCGCTCTGGGAGTAAGTGCAGTGTAAGGGCTGGGAAAGGACGCGTCTTGACGCACAGGTAGGAAAAAGGACAAGCTACCTGCTTCTCCATTCGACCCAACTTTCCCTAGGAGTGGTAGTGAGCAGAGGGTGAGCAGAGGTTCTCGAAACTCCACTAGGGGCACAAGGCAGAACTTGGTGTACAGAGGGGCGCGGCGGGGCGGGGCTCCGGGAACGCCCCAGAGAAAACTTGGGCGGGTAATCCCGTCTCTGCTTAACCAAGAGCCCCGCGGCCAGTGGGGGCGGAGGAGAACCCGGTCAGGCTGAATCAGTTCACGTGCACGAACAGAACCCGCGCCAGGAGAGATCAGAGGAGCAGCCTTGAAGGGAGCAGAATGCAAGCTCAGGAGAGAAAGGAGCGAAAGTGGGAGACGGTGGGAGAAAGGGACTTTGTACGAGCTTTCCCAGTTTTTATACTCAAAGCACTCGAGACCCTCTTTCGTCGCGCGCTTTTCCGGGGCGTTAAAGGAAACGCATGTTGTGGTCCCATTTGGCTCTACCGCAACCCGGCGTCCCGGATACTTTCCGCCCCCAGCATCCGCGTTTTCTTTTCCCCCCAACCCTGGCCCCAGCGCGGCCTGGACTCAGAGCGTGGTGATGCGGGACGTGCAGGTGCCGTTGCGGAAGACACCGCCCGATTCCAGGTTTTCGGGCTGGAAGTCCTCTACGCTGTAGGCGCGGCTCTTGAGTGCGGTGGCATAGTAGTCGACGGGCTCCTCGGCGGCGTTGTCCATCCAGCTGAGGCACAGGATGCGCTGAAAAGAGCGCTTGAAGTTGTCCGAGAGGAAGCCATAGAGGATGGGGTTGGCGCAGCTGTTGGCATAGCCCAGGATGACCGACAGCTGGCTCACCGTGGCGTCGTCCTGCTCGGCGAACACGTTGACCAGCTGCACCACGTAGAACGGCATCCAGCAGATGACGAACACCATCACCACCATCATCACCATCAGCGTGATCTTGCGCTCTGAGCGCTTGCGCTGCTGCCAGCCGGCCTTGAGGGCCACCATGCGCATCTTGGCGATGATGAGCACGTAGCACAGGCAGATGGCCCCGACGGGCAGCACGAAGCCCATGAGAAAGGTGTAGAGCACGAAGCCCACTAGCCAGCGCTGCGCGGGCTCGGGCATAAGCATGTTGCAGGCGACGGTGCCGTCGCTGTTGGCCGCGGTGCGCGAGAAGACCACGATGGGCAGAATGACGAGCAGCGAGAGGACCCACACGCCCAGGTTCACCACCTTGGCGACCGTGGGCCGGCGGTAGCGGGCGGCCTTGATGGGATGCACTACAGCCACGTAGCGGTCCACGCTGAGGACCGTTAGGCAGTAGATGCTTGTGAACATGTTGACAGCATCCACACTGAGCACGAGACGGCAGAGCAGCGCGCCGAAGGGCCAGTGGCGGAGCAGCGTGGAGGTGACCAGGAAGGGCACGCTGAGCATGAGTAGCTCGTCGGCGATGGCCAGGTTGAGGATGTAGATGTTGGTGGCCGTCTTCATCTTGGCGTAGCGCAGGATCACGTAGATGACCATGGAATTCCCGCACAGCCCCACCAGGCACACCACGGAGTAGATGAAGGAGATGAGGATGGCGCTGCCCTGGCCCTCGCTCAAGGTCCCATTCTGCGAGGCGTTCCGCCCGGGCTCCTCCATGCCGTCCGCTGCGCCGGCCCCGGGGTCCCTGCTGCCGCCGCCTGCGCCGCAACCTCCCGGGCAAGGGCTAGGAGAAGAGGGAGAGGAAGCGGTGGCGTTGGGAAACATCTCGGCGGAACCTGGACGGGAGGTGAGAATCAGGGGTGGCCGGGGCTGGACAGCTCTGCCGACTCCCCTGCACCCGGCTCCACCGGCAGCCGCTCACAGCCCCCAGGCGCGGCTCGGATTAGCGCCCACCCCGCACATGGCCCGGCGGCTGCCTGCGCGCCGCGCCCTGTAGCACCGGGGCGCCGGGACACGCGGCTTTGGAGAGCTGGGAGGACCGGAGGCTAGAGTCCTGAGCCGCACAGCCATTAACTGCCGCGATTCTGGGCTGCTGATTAATAGGCACCGACAGCGCGTCAGCAGCTACGAAAAGCTAGGGGGAGGGGAGAGAGAGAGAGAGGGAGGATGGCTTATCACCCCCGCCCCCTCCTTCCTCCAACCGCTCCTTTCCAAAGCAACTCTTGGCAGCTGCTTCCAGGGTTCCTTCGCAGCACCCTTCCCTCCTAGGACCTGAAGAGTTTCTCTGCTTTCCTGCATTTGGGATGGTAACCAAAGGTGTAAATTCCGCCCCATCCCACCTGGCTCCTCTCCAAAGCAGATCCCCCGCGTAAATGTCTCGGAGTACTTCTCATTTGCCTTAGTGGCAGCTCTGAACTGGGAGAACCCCGACTCTTCCCCGTCCCAAGGTCCCGGGACCCTCCCATCCATCACCCCCCGCCCCCCCCCCCCCACACATACTCCCTGCCCCCTCCTCCCGCTCGCCCTGTCCCTGACACCCTGGCTGAAGCTTCTTACCTTAGTCACCTCTTGAGCCACTCGCAGACTGTTGGAGCAAAGTGCTGGTGCTGTCCAGCAGCCCAGTGACGTTCTCTGTGCGGGCCAACTCCTTTCTCTGGCCGGGACTCAGCCGGCACTGGCGCCCGCGCAGTTCTTCTTAGGAGTCGTTGAAATCAGCCTGCACCACCGGCTTTCTAAGGAGGAAGGCGCACGGCGGTGAGTGCAGGGCTTCTGCGTCCCAACCCCGCAGTCAGGTTGTCCCGGGCGTGCGTGCTCAGACATCCGGGGAAAGCATCGCGAATCGTTTCCCCGCACGAGCGGTGGCAGCCCGGAGCCCCCCGCGCCTCACAGAGGAATACAGACTGCAGAAGGAAGGGCGAGTGGCTGCGAGCAGGGGAGCCCCCCCCGGAACGTGACGGCGCGGTGTGGGCAATCCATCCCGGGGTTCGGTGGGAAAAGACACGCTGCGCCTCCTGGAAAGGCCCCTCCCGCGCCCTGGTGGTACTTTGTGCCCAGGAGAGTTGAGGAACCCAGCGTAGGAGAGGAGAAAGATCTGGGGGTGGGGGATAGAGGCTTTCCCTAAACCTACCCGGACCTGCCAGGCTGGTGAAAACCTGTCACCAACTTCAGGAGCTGCAAGACAACCTTCCAGTCCTTCCTTATAGTACCAGGATTTCCACTTTTTCTGAGGATTTTCTGAGGTCCTGATTCGTACGCCTAAACCTTTGCTAAGCAAATCCATGTGGGCGCGCCTGAAACTCGATGACTTCATTCAGGAATCTAAGGGGTTTTCTGTAAAACAAACAAAAACGAATGTTCTATAACCCTGATTTTGAGCGACCTTTGGGACGCTTGCTGGACTAGGTTCCCTTGGACTTAATAGCCCCCTTTGAAGGCAGACCATACTAATGCGCTCCCCAGCTCTTTGTCCATATCCCTCTGAGTTCTTTTCGGAATCCTGCTGGTTCCCAGGAAGGCTGCTTTGCAGCTGCCAGTGCTGAGCCACTCCTCCTTGCTCTCAAGCAACTGGCACCTGGTATTTTGTGAGCTGCAATTTTGCCTTTCACCTAGTACAGTTCACGCTAAGGAGGCGCAAACTTCACCGGAAATTAAGCTCCTCAACCAGGCTGTTTGTACCAGATAGTCCAAAAGACAAAAATGGATGCAAACAAACAACAACCAAAAAAGTGTCATTCCTACTGCCCCCTTACTTTATCTTGATGATCAGTTGCATTTATGTTATAGCACTCAAAATTAAAAGTGCCTGAAAGGGAAAGAGTAATTCTAGCAGTGTGTTGATTTTAGCAGTCAGGAATATAAAAATCGATGATAGACCACCCTCCATAGGACATAAGAGTGTGTAAGAAAAGAATTTGAAATTACATTAAAACTCAAGCTAACCCATGACTTCATCTTCACAAATTAGCTATAAAGGGATGTAGAATTAGAATTGGGGGGATAGTTGTGGTTAATTTTCCTTTAGGAGTATAGCATATATGGAGGGGAAGAAAAGATGTCAAAGAATGTCGGGCGGGGAGGGGGGGCGGTGTTGTCCACAAGGGCCTTTTACTATGGCCTGAATGATAGTCCAATGGGGAGAGGCTTGCTGTGCACGTGGCTGAATAGAGTTCTATCCCTGGAAACCTATACGGTTCTTCATGTTTGCCAGAAGTAATCCCTGAGCACAGAGCCAGGAGTAAGCCCTGAGTACAGCCAGGTGTGGTGCCAAAACAACAACAAAGCCAAACAAAAAAGAAAAGCTTTTTTTTTACTAACCAAGCTTATAATGATTTAAATGTTTCTTTACCAATCACTGACTAGAGCCGACTGGCTTTTCCTCCGGGGGATGACATTTCAACAGTCATCATTCAGATGCTTTGGCACTGATTATGCATGCTCCAGGGAGTAGGTGATGGCTTTTGGTAAAGCATAGCTCTGTTGTTCAGAATTTCATATGTTCACTTTGCAGCTCATCTTAGGGAAATCTTTCAGTTTGGTGGTAGCATCAATTGACAAAAGAAGAAAATTTAAGGTCTAATAATTAGCTTAGTTTTTGGTTTCTGAAGTTTTTCTGATAAATTATTTATCCATAAAATGAGACTGATGATGAGATAGCACTTTGCACTCTCTTAAGGTGGCCATTTCAATTTTTAAAAATGAACATAGCAAATGTGGGCGATCATGTGGAAAGTTTCTGGTAGAAATTTGTAAAAAGCATGGACATGCATGTTCACAGCAGTACTATTCTTTTTAGTAAAAAAGCCAAGCAAGTCAAATATCCTGATGAATATATGGATAAAGAAAATATGGTAGACCCACACTGTAGCATATCATTCATCCATTAAAAGTAAGAAAACATTAATATCTGCTGCAACATGAATGAACCATGAAGACACTATGAAAAATGAAAGAAGTCAGACAAAACAGGTTCATGTTCATGTATTTGAAGAAGGGAGTTTGGGCTATGCTAAGTGGTACTCAAGATTTGCAGTACTGTACTGTCCTCTTGTTGTTCATCGACTTGCTTGAAGGAGCCCAGTAATGTCTCCACTGCAAGGACTTGTTGTTACTGTGTTTGGAGAATTGAACACGTCACAGGTAGCTTGCCAGGCTTTGCTGTGTGAGTGAGATACTCCCCGTAGCTTGCAGGGCTCTCCAAGAGGGGTGGAGGAATCAAACACTGGTTGGCTGAAACAGCCTCGTGCAAGGCAAATGCCCTACCCGCTGTGCTATCGCTCCAGCCCCAAAGGCCTACAGCACCCGGTATTGCCAGGCAGTCTCCCATCCAAGTACTGACCAGGCCCGACCCCGCTTAGCTTCCTAGATCAGACAAGAGTGGGTGTGTTCAGGGTGTTATGGTGTTATGGCCATTCACTGTACTCAAGATCATTCCTGGTTTTGCACTCAGAAGTGTTGCTTAGGGCATCATATGCAGTGCTGATATTCAAACCATGGTCATCCAAACGCAAGACAAAAGACGTTCTCTGTACTGTTCCTCTGGACCCAACAAATCATCTATCGTCTGGTTCCATGTGTACAAAATGTCCCAAACAAGCAAATCCATTGAGATAAGGATTAGCAAGGTCATAGTTCGTAGTAAAGAATATGCCTTGCATTGTGGGGTACTGGTTTTGTATTAGTGTTAGTCCCACCACTACCCAAGGACAAAAATAATATAAACTATTCCAAGTCAAAGAAAATTAGAGTTGTCAGAGACTGAGGGGAGAAGTTTTGGGGTGTGGCACTTGATGGTTAAGGGGGTGCTCTTCTTTTCTGAAAGGGTGATTGTGGTACCATATCATGAATGTAGCTAAAATTATATTTTTATATCATGGTTTTTACTTCAAGAGAGATGGAGAGAAAACATGCTATGTTACCAAAGCTCTTCAATTCTGTTTTAGTTAATATCACATCTGTGAACTAGCCTATAAATAAAGGAATCAAACAATGGAAAGGCAGCATATCTAGGCTAAGCATGACTGAAATTCCATCCCTTTTAAAATTATACAAATGGTGTAAAGCAGGAAGATATTTAGAATTTACCTTCTTCTCAGTCTTCAGTTTAATGTGAACTTTTCCTCATGAAAGAAGAAAACTAGTGGTTGCATGGGGTTGTTGAGTGAAAAGCACAGCCTCTCTGTAGTCTGGCTTCACAATCTTCTTTTCTTATTTGAATTTTGCTCTCAGTTTTATTACACAGTCCTTGAAAAGATTTAGCCAAGATTTGTTGATTGCATGAAAGTTACCTGTCCTGAAGCCTTTCTTTCTTGGGTCGTTTCAAAAGCCTCAGTAATGTGAAAATTTCTAGAGAGTAAAAAAAACAAATTTGACTTTCAAGAAATGGAGAAGAAAAATCATAATTTAGGAATTTTCAGGTTTGTTAAGCAGTCTTTTTTTTCTCCTTTTGCAGTTTGTACTATAAGATATATTCCCCTGTTGTCAACATAACAGATACACACTTTGTTATGATGTTTGTCATATCTGTGTAGTGAATTATTTAGAATTGTCTGCCACACCTTTTATCTATAAATATTGAGATTATAGGACTATATTATATTTATCTTTCTCTTCCAAGAAGATAGAATATCTGAAAAACATCTAAAACCTCATTAACTGAATTTTCAAACTTATCCCATGGATATTAACATTTTTTCTAACCCATACAATTGAAATGCAAGGTTATTTGAAATTTTTGAGCAAAACTTTGAGCTTTTTGTAAAGAATGCTTTAGTATCTGTATAATATCATTTGTTGTTATTTCTTATACACTAAATCATCCTGAATAATCTCAATTGGAATGCTCTATATCAACAACCATGATGATGACTTATTCATCGATCATTCTTGGGTTTAAACTTCTTGGCAGAGAAAGAGCTCTAGAAAATCGGTAGTACATACTATAGTAGATAATGATGGCTATTTAATAGTATCATGCAGTGTGAAAGCCATTATATGTGGAATATCATTTCTTTTTAATTGCAATCCTGAGTCTCAGTTGGTTTGGTGTCATAGTAATTATCAGGAGTTCAAACTCTGCTTCTGTCAAAATTGTTACCAATGTGGTTTTTCCAATTGGAACTGATGGTGACACTTATATGAGCTACTCTTATCCTTGCCAGTAGTAAAGGGCAGGCTGAAGCCAGGGATTTAAAGGGAACACTTCTGGAACATACTCTTCACTGGTATCATCAGGATTGTGTTTACAAATACCTGTCTGAACA